GACAACACAGGACTAAAATAGCACCAGACTCACTCAAAACATGACAGCAACATGAAAGAGAAACTGAGAGTGAAGTAACACAAAGGAGAAGCTAGGAACTAGAGAGGAGAGACGGGTATGGGAGACAAAGTTACGCAGTGGTAGTCCACTCGCTGTGCGTAGCCCTTCATGTGTGAGCCACTCCCATCAGTGGATAAATTCAGGCTAAAATGTTCTCAAAGCTCTAGGCCTCCTGTCGCCACTCTGCCTATTGTGGCGTGCATCTAACAGGGTGTGTGTAAGAGATTCAGCCATCAGTCACGAGTGACCCTCTGTGTGCAGTCTCTGTTTCAACACTGTCTGTGTCCAGCTGCTCTCTGTGCCTCTACTTCTCCTAAACAAGAGCTGTGATTACAACACAGCAGGAACCACATGGCAAATAAACTCATAACAATATGAAGAGGCAGTTTTGCACTACTTCCTCAAATGCTGTGTGCAACAAAAAAAAGTCACATTGCTCAATCTACGCGGTGAAACGTAGTGCCTGCCTCTGAGATTTCTGTAGTGAAAGCCAGAACGTGCATTATCCCCGTCTTTTATCTGCCTTCTCACACATATGAACACAGTCAGCCAGTCAGGTGCTAGCCAAGCTCACATCTACAACACCCACTTCACCCAAATGCCAGCAACATTAGAAACACCTCATACGTAAAAGGTCTTTATCAAGCACTCAATCGGACACAATATCATTATCAGTGTTCCAAAACAACTTGTCAAGCACAGAGACCTTTAATATTTCTCCCAATAGCAACAGAGAAGTCAGCAGCTTTGTGAAAACCAGATCAGAAAATGAACACAGATAACTAGCTTCGTATTCACGCTTGTAGTGACAGAGCCAAGGCTGGGAAGGCATCAGAGGAAGAGTGTGACGACATGTGACTTCGCAGTTCCATCTGTGCTGAATGGATGTGCCAGACACACGCATAAAGTTACCCTGGCAACTGAGCAACAGCACTGGTTGGAGGTCACACAGAGAGAAAGCTTGATGCAGACCAAAACGCCTCTAGAATATGTATAGCTCTCAGAAGGAGGCTCAAGATGACTGCTTATACACTCAAAAGGGAAGTCAAACATGAGCTGCCCTCTATATGTTGCTACACACAGACACGGCCATAATGCATCGAGGAGCATTTCACATAAACTGTGTGCTGAACATGATGCAATGCAGAGCAGAGAAATACAACCTGAGAAAGACCAGGGGTTGAACTTGATGACGCAAAAGCCCTTCAGTGTTTTATCCCTTTCTCTTGTAAACACACGGCTCTGATTCTGAAAGGGGAGTTTCATTTCACACACACAGATGTAATCTCTAACTAATCACATTTGCAGGCCTTGGACAGAGCAGCCATACCACAGTGCTGAACAGATGGGCCCACGTACACGAGGCATCTCTGGGATTAGCTTCGCCCGGAAGGTGGAGGTGGAATGTAAAGTTACCGAGGGACGCTTTCTAAAAAGTAGCTGGTGCTCAAATGACACTGAGGGGAGACTTATCCGAACAGGTATAATGATTCAGAAATGGAAAACTGGAATTGCATCTCTGAGGGTATGTCCTCCGAATGATTTTCTTCCACCGGTTGGAACATGACCAAATGTTTCAGTTAAGGAGTGCTTGCTTGCGTCCCTTCAAAGACAAACGCATTTAGCCATAAATAATTATGTGTTATACTCAACGTGATGTGACTGAAAATAAGAACAGCACTCTGTGAGCAAGTGTGCTTCAGCATATCCTCCGGGCACTCACACTGTTTCTGTTGGCAAGAAACAGATATGCAATGTGACGTTTTTTGTTTACAGTCAGGAAGAGAGAGACGAAGAACAGGATAAACCCCAAAAACACACAATGATAATTCAATGCAGCACTTGTAAATAGGCATACAGATGGGACTCGTGTTGCTTAAGACCAACGGTACAAATCTCCGCACTGAGAATACTGAATCAACCATATTTTATTGGATTAAAACCTAAGCCCTGGAACTAAGGCTGCTAAAATAAACGGTCCAGGTGTACCTTTTGCACCCACTGTCCTGCAGGTGAAACTTTCACTGGTAATCTGTAACAATTTGCAGCTCTCTCCCGGGTTCGGCCTGAATTGGATGAAGTAAAAACCAAAAGGAATTCCAAACAGATTCCTTCTCTAACATATGGAGGGACTGAGGATCTCCCAACATTTGGAAATAATTAGGTTTCATCTCCTCTTTAGGTCTGAACTTTAGCTTTATCTCACCTCTCAATCACACAATGCTTTCAGAACAAGCTCAACTGCAGCTATCGACTCTATCTAGATAAATTATGCATCTATTTAACTGTTAAAGAAGACTGCTAAGGCCAAATAAGACCGTTTCAGTCTTTACTGCATAACATGACACCATCACCACTGTAAAGGCATGCCAGTCATGAGTCTGAACCAGTGACCCCTGGGTCATATGTTAAGTGTTGAGAACAGCAGCTCCACACAACCACACTAAATATCAATATGGAACATTCCTTAGTTAAAATGGGGAGCGCGCGAAGCAACGTCACGCAAGACACTGACAAAGAGTGTGTTAGATAGGAGGCTGGAGCAGAGGGAGGCTTTGTTTAAGAAAAGAAGGGCGGTCTAATAGTGAAAAAGGCGTGAATTCAGCTCAAACTAATTCTGCTTGACAGCTAATAGAGCTGGCCCACTCAAGTGTGTGTGCTCCCAGAGCACCAACATATCTGCAGTTATTCCTGACCTCACACACTGAAGGAACAGAAACAGATAACATGGAGTTCGGTTGGACGGCTCGCAAAGTTTTAGCAATGTAGACTGTGACGGCACACTGGCCTCTGTTATCAGACCACCACTGCCTCAGATTGAGTTGACATTAAATGGTAAACATATGATACGACATCTAAGATACAGCCCTAACAACTGATAAATGTTGAGTCTGCACATTTGGAATTGATTACTATCACTTCTTTAATGTAGGGCTGTGCATTTAATCAATATTAAATCAATACTGTGATATGAGAATAGACATAATCTTCTATTTTGGATATAGTATTCTAAGTGTTGTCTTTTCCTGGTTGTAAAGGCTGCATTACAGAAAAGTGATGTAACTCTATCAACTTACCAGACTTTTATAGCTGTTATTATTTGCCTTTACTTGAGATGTACCGATACCACTTCTTCCTTCCAGATACCGATTCCGATCCCTGAACCTTAGGTATCTGCCAATAGCGAGTATCGATCCAATACCAGCGCGTAAAATAAAAATGGATGGGTTATGAATTGTCCTAAAACTCTATGTAAAATATTAAGGAATAAATACATAATAGTAGAATGAATGCCATAAAACTTTTTTTTATTATTATTATCCAGTGTTGACACAGATCAAGACACAGGTTAAAGTGCAGCCACACAATTTAAGGCTACAGTAGAATGCTTTTTAAACTCCGCTCCGTTTCGTTTGCCTGTAGCGTGCATATGTGTAATGACGTGAGGCATTACGTGGTATTGGACTGGTCATAGGCTGTACTCGCCGATACCACATTTTAGGCAGTATCAGAGGCATTTCCAATACTGGTATTGGTACAACTCTAGCCTTTACCCACTTTGTAAGAACAATGTTGTGATTTCTTACTCCTCTACATCGCCTGGCCCTGATTTACAGATCCAGTGTGATGGATTGAGTGTTGAGCAGTTAGGCTGCAGGACTGAAACTTCTCCTGTTTGCTAAGGATGTAGAACTACGGTGGCCAATGCATAAAAGCAAAAAAACACAAATGGCCCTGTCAAAAGCCAGAGCCTTATTCCCGCTCTGGGCTACTGTAGCAACAACATGGCAAGCACCATGTATATAAACAGTTCATTTTAAGGTAACAGAAACACAATACTTGTTTTGAAGTGAAAATAAAACTAATGAAAACATAGTTACTGGATTTATATACAACTTCTGCCAATAGGTGCTCCTGAGTCCTCCACACTGGACCTTTAAATTGTTACTGATCAGCAAACTAATTACATTAAAGGAAGCGGACAGCAATCAGACACATGTAGAGCAGGTTGCTGATACAAGTGTGGGTGAGATGTGAGTGCATTATGTGAGGAAACACCTTCCAGCTGGACTTGGGAGGAACCTCCAGCTTTTCCTCATGGAAGTAATTTCATGAAGGTGGTCACCCCTTTCCCAGATTCAAAATACCCTCACGACTAATCTTTTGTGCTTATTCTGTAACCGAGACGTGCTATGGCTAGGACAAGACAGGCTAATGCTGTGCACAGTATTGTTCGTGGGTGAACCCACGCCACACCCAAAGCACTCCCCGGAGGGCAACTGTGCAGCAGGGGGTTCACCGCCAATGAGCTATCCAGAGCAGGACGCCTGCAGTGGGTTTGGCTGTCGGGCTAGCAGCACAAACGGGACATTTAGTCCCCAGTCTGGCTCCACAGAAGCTAACCGCGTAGCCACTACAGTCAACAAAGTAAAACTGAGAGAGAGGAATCATATAATGCGAACTCACTGACTCTCACCACTCTTTTCTCAGAGCTTTCCACATTAGCGTGCTGCAGTTCTTGCTAGCCTGATTCGTTAGCTGACTTAGCTTCGTGAGGGAGAGCATGATTTATTATTAGCATTATATCAAACTCCTCGGTGCTGCTGCTCGGCGTGGGGTGGGGAGACTGTGTCTTCACGTGGGCGGAGGAGAAGATAAAAAGCTGGTTGAAATAAACCTGAGCATCCAGCTACTGATAGTCTGCAATGCAATAAAACAGGACAAGTATTATCGTTTCCCTCGCATCTTCTTGTCCCCTCCTGTTGATGGATGCCGATCTACTTTGATAACGGAGCATCCTGCGTGTAAAAACAAACACATCCAAACCGTTCGTGGGGCTTAACGTTACGTTAGCTAGCTGCCTCGACGGCTGAGGAGGGATTTTCTACATGATGTCGCAAACGATCAGAAACTTTGACTCACGCTGGTCTTTAACTCACCGAAGTGAAGCCGTTATCTTCTTCCTTCCTTCGATATTCCAGCGGGTTCATCAGAAAGCAGCAGACAGCTAACAGTCTCGAGGCTAACGCTCAGGACACGACGATGCGCCTCGCAACAGCTGTGTTCTGTTTTGAATGAGGGCTGAGGAGACGCACGGCTGACGGGCGGAGCTAGTCCGCCCATCATCATCATCCTCCTCCTCACACCGGCGGCTCAGCTCACCTCCACATACACACACTGACCTTTTGTCTGCGTCTGTGTTATCTACAGGTTGCTGATACAGTGGGGTATAATGTTGACACATGGGGGAGCATACCCGGTGCCCACCTATTGTCATGAGTCCAGGATTAAGCGCCATGTGAGATTTGAAAAGGTTCATGTGTTTGATTCTGACGCCATCTTGTGGTCCGACCACAGCTGTGCCCGCACCAGTGGAAAACCAGCCAGTATGAACATGTTTCAGGACATGACCTGGTGTTAAGGGTCACAACATTTACTGTCTCCATTGACCCTGTGAAACCTGGAGCGAGGATTGAAATCTTTGAACCCTGAGCAAATGGTGTGATTTCTTCCAAAAACATGAGGAAAATGGCAACGAGCCTCTTTAGGAGATGCCCCACAAATTGCAAAAAATATGAATAGATTAGAAAATAGAAAATTAGAAAATTATTATTTTTTTATTAAAAAAACTGTGGGGATAATAAGGAAAAAGCTAGGGGAAAAATATCATTATTATTATTATTATTATTATTATTATTATTATTAATATTATTATTATTTATTTTTAAATTATATGTGTGTTTGTATGTCTTTTTAAATGGACCTTGAGTTTATCAATAAAGCTATTTATTATTATTAATAGAATCAAATATTATAAATAATAATTATTATATCCAAAGGACAGGGGGATGCCATATGTTGTAAAGCCCTCTCAGGCAAATTGAGATTTGTGATATTGGGCTTTATAAATAAAACTGATTGATTGAAATTGATATTTTAATATTAGAAATAAAAGAGAAAATTAAAAGCAAAAAAAATTGTTTAAAAAAAAGAAAAAGAGACATTTCTCTCGTAATAATAATTTATTACGTTTTAAAATTATGTTGCAAAATTATTATAATTTTTAAGTACTCTGTTTAGGTCATTTCCTTGTTTGATTGTTTTTAACTGTTTCTCTTTATGTCTTTCTTTTTTTTTTATTAATTTTTAATTCTAATTTTCTTGCTTTTAATTTTCTCTTTTTACTAATTTCCTGCAAATGTTTGGGGTCATTTCTCCTTTGGTTGCTCATTGCCTTCCCATGTTTTTAAAATAAATCAAGCTATTTTTTTTTAGGTTTCACAGGGTTAATTAATTCCTTATATTTTCTTTAAAATGCATCAAATATTTATGGCGAGTGGCTTAAATTACAGATCAAGGTGTTCTTTGTTACATAAATACAAATAATGCTTCTTTTACATACACACACACACACACACACACACACACACACACATACACATTACTGTGTGCTTAGTTGACTCCTACACAAACGACAAACCATAAAACCGTTAAAAATATTCCAAAAATTATTTAATTATCTTTAGGTCATGTTACACTCTCTCTGATTATAACTATTTCTAACAGGAAGGACTACATTTCTCTAACTGTTTTCATCATTTCATCATGTATTCTGTCCCTGCAGTCACCCTGTTAGTTATTAGTTTCTCACCTTAAAAAAAAAAAAACCCTAAAATTCCATTCAGACCAATTTCAGGAAGTGGCACGTTTTTTGGAGGAAACTCGGTCCAGTGTGAAGGATTTACAGAGATATATTGGCAGATATTAAATGTTTTCTTCAGTGTCTAATCACTTAAAAAAAGAACCATGGTTTTTGTTACCTTAGAATGAGTTAGTATCTATATAGGGACCTGATCCTCATCCGTGGAGATCAGCATGTTGTATGTTTCTACAGTAGCCCAGAAGAGACAAACCAAACACTGGCTCTAGATAGAGCCATTCACATTTTTGTGTCAGCCCCTCCGTGACAAGGGTGTTGGATTTTAGATGTTTATACATTTTCAAAAACACTGTTTTATTCAGTGTTTCTACCAGTTTAAATCACTGGGTCCATATATTTTGGAGAAATGATAATTCTCACCACTAGATGCCACTAAATCAGTGCCACCCTGTTGGGATAAATTAGGAAGAAAGTTGGTCTAATAAAAAAAAACTTTAAAACATATTTGATAGTTAGAAAAGTTATGTTTATGTGTAGAAAGTTAGCTATAGCACTCACAGCGCTAAGCCAAATTTTCCTCACTGATAAGTTTATGGACCAAAATTAACCCAGTCCAACCATAAGGATTAATATTTGGGTGCTCCAGTGTGGTCACTATGTTTTCTGACAATTACACGTCACTATTCTTACTTAATACAAAAACCCAACAGTTCCCACATCAGCATTGTGTTTGCCTGCTTGATTTACATTTAGCCCCATCGTTGTTATAGCTGAGCACTCAAGAGCTTCACAATTTGAGGCAGCTCATTCGACATGTTCCAAAAGGTTTGTTCAAATTAAATAAAAATAAATTATGTGCCACACCAAACTAATAACATATACAATAAATATTTATAATGTTGTATAAAAAGGTTGGTGCACATGACAATGTGATGCTGATCTAAAGACAGAACACTGAGTTTAAAGCCTGTAAGCTTGTGCCTAATTTCTATACCACAAATATGGACCTTTAAAAGCCATTATTAATAATCAACTACTGAACATGAATCAAGACTCATTTTATTTTACATTCACATTAATATACATTTGGCTTAAATCTACCAATACAAACAGTCAAGCAAACACTGCTCCCTGAATTTGTCAGTCTACACACTGTAAATGAGGCAAACACGTTTATTTCACCATTCATTTTTAAAGGACACATCATCTCCTACCTCTGAAGCCCTGAACAGGTTCTGCACACAATTACTTGTCCCCATAAACGACCTGACTGAGCACCATGTGTGTATGATATGATATATGATCATTTAACCAAGTGTGTCACATTCACTCCCCAAATTTGAGCTGCCTTTCCTTCTCTAAACTGTGCAGCTCCCTTGCTCGATTCTTCAGCTCCTCTGCTTTCTTCTCATCCTTCTCCGTACCATCCCCAAGTCTGTACATGCGACTTGCATTGGCGCAGCCCCACACATGTCCCAGCTCACAAGCCCTGTTAGCGTACTTCAAAGCTTGATTCATATCCGGCGCCAGTCCTTTGGCATTGCCCTCGATGTACAAAGCACTAAGGTTAAAGCAGGAAGGAGCGAAGCCACTAGCACAGGCTTTCTCGTAGTACTGCCGAGCTATAGTCGAGTCAGGTCCTCCTTCAATAGCTCGTCCATCATGGGCTAACAGACCAACGTTATGGCAGGCATCCATGGACTTCTTTCCGTTGGTATTGCAGGAGCGCATAAAGCAGGAGTAAGCAGTTTTCAGACACTCAGTCACTCCACCTGTTGGGAAGATTTCAAATACCTCACTTGAAAAAAGAGTAGACATACTATAGCAAGAATCATTTAGAAGTGCTGCAAGGATCAAAATTAAAAGAACCCATTTGAAGAATTTAATATTCATGTGTTCACATGTTAACAATATTCATTAGATATTTTTTTTTATTGGATGTATGGAAGCAAATAAGAAACATAAGTATTTAAACTGTAACAGCGACTGAATGTTTAATATTGAAATTTAAACACCATTGAATTCACAGCACTGAGATATTTTACTTTGAAAAACACGTATCTGAATTTATTTGTTCTGAATTCTTATCTATGAAAATTAAATATTAAACCTATTGATTTCCAATTTCAAAAGCTGAATTTGAATATATCGTATTCAGCGTTCATAAATTCAGATCTAAAAGTTCAAATTTCAGAATTAAAAAAGAAAAACCAACAGATTTTTCAACCTAAATTTTCATTTTCATTTGTTTTTTCTTGTTCATATAGTTTTCGATCTTAAGTTGAGGGGAGGTCCGTTGTATAAGCTTATAGCTTCTTGACCTCTCCTGTCACATCCTTATTTTTTTCTATTATTTATCTGGATTCTGTGTAGTTTTTACTATGTGTGCAAATAATAAAATAAATAAATAAAATAAAATAAACTGAATTTGAGCAATCAACTTTAAGTGACATGAATCTGTTTCTTGAAATTCTGAAACTTGAGCTTTTGGATCTGATTTTTTTAAAAATTGAAGAAAAAAAATTAGCTTTTGAAGTTTTTAATTTAACAAATTTCAAATTTTAATTTCAAACAGGTGAATTCAGAACAAATAAATTCAGTCATGGTTTTTCGATGTAAAATATTTCCATGCTGTGAATTCAGTGGTGTTTAAATTTCAATACTAAGTGGTTGTTAAAGGGATAGTGCACCCAAAAATGAAAATCCAGCCATTATCTACTCACCCATATGCCGAGGGAGGCTCAGGTGAAGTTTTAGAGTCCTCACATCACTTGCAGAGATCCAAGGGGAGAGGAGGTAGCAACACAACTCCACCTAATGGAGGCTGACGGCGCCCCAGATTCAAACGTCCAAAAACACATAATTGAATCCACAAAATATCTCCATACTGCTCGTCCGTAGTGATCCAAGTGTCCTGAAGCCCCGACATAAAAAGTTGTTTGGAAAAACGTTATTTGAACTCTGTTCAGCTTAGGATTGGGACTCGTTAGGATTTTAATGATTCCGATTCCTTACCGATTCCTACATTATATTCATTATACTTGCTATACTTAAACAAGAATATAATAAACACAAATGCAATCATACAAATACAAAAACGTTATTCTAACTGTTGCACAGTACAATTAGATGAAAATACACAGTTGTGTGTGGTGTGTATTTCAGATTTAGAGCTTGTATCATCTCCCTGAGAATATATAACAACAAAGAGTGATTCTCTGATTTCTACAGTAACACTATTGCCTCAAATTAACCACAGCAATGTAATAAAAAAAATACTTATATGCATTCATGCTTGGGCACTGTTATTTACGTGACAACACCTGAACAGAACACACACACACATTGGCTGTTTGTTTCTACATCTCTCCTCGCTGGAAGCCTCGGACCTCCCGCCGCC